TTATAGATGAACTATAAATCCCAGCAACTACAACTACCAATTGACAAAATCAACCCCACTAGTATTCAAATTTGGGTGTATCAGATATTTGTGCCAAATTTAGTCCAGTGCGTGGAAATATATCCTACATATTGGATATTTACATGGCAATTCATAACAGTAGCAAAATTACAGTTGTGAAGCAATAACTAAAATAATGTTATGGTTGGGGTCACCACAACACGAGGGACTGTGTTAAGGGGTCGTGGCATTAGGAAGGTTGAGAACCACTGATATATGGAATAATATCCAGGGTGGGAGAAAGAACTCTTGTCTGTTGGAGGCAAGTGTGAAAGTTATAATTGGTCACATTGATTAGCACTGAATGGCCTTGCAGCTTCAAAGCCTGGCTGCTTCCTGATAGATGGAGTTCTTTCTCCCACCTTGGACATTCCACAGATATATAAACCTCACTTGCCTAGTTTCCAACAGACCTCCGAGGATACCTGCCATAGATGTGGGCAAAATGTCAGGAGAGAATGCTTCTGGATCATATCCATGCAGCCCAGAAAACTCACAGCAACCCATTGATTGCGGCCATGAAAGCCTTCGACAACAAGCTGTGGAGATCCCTGGTTTTCCCAAAAGGTTATGAATTTTCCAAAAGTTCTTGGGGTCTCTTCAAAGTCAGTAATTCCATCTTGGGCCTTGCTACTCAGATATTATATATATATATATATATATATATATATATAATATTTTTATATATTTATATATTATATATATTTTTCCCCATCCAGGAGACAGACCAGTTGGAGGCCGAGCAATCGAAGCTGCAAAAGGAGATTGCGGAGCTGCAGAAGCAGAAAGAGCGCTTGGAGCTGGTGCTGGAAGCCCACCGTCCGGCCTGCAAAGTCCAAGGGCAGTCGCCGGGCAAAGAAAAAGAAGGTGGCGACCAGACGACAACAATCAAGCAGGAATCCCCTCCGGGGCCCAGTGTCCCACGCCGGGCCGCCCCAGTGCCTCCCAGCATCACTTTACCGCCCAGCGGCCCCTTGGAGCCCGAAGCCCTGCACACCCCGACCTTGATGTCCACCCCTTCCTTGACCCCCTTCACCCCGAGTTTAGTTTTCACTTATCCGGCTCCCGGCGACCCCGAAGCACCGTCCGGTTCGGGATTCCCGCAAGAGCCCTGCTCTTCTGCCCATCGGCGCAGCAGCAGCGGCGACCATTCCTCCGATTCTCTCAATTCGCCCACTTTGTTGGCACTCTAAGACAGTCATCATGGAGTACCGGGTGCCAGCTTTGCTTCTGCCTCGGGTCGTGGTTTGGACTGTCATTCTGTTGCCTCAACAAGAGTCTAGTGTCTCCATCTAGGGAAGTCATAGTCACACTCTATTCTGCTTTGGAATCAGACTGTGTCCAGTCCGTGTGAAAGGGATCTAGGTGTTTGAATGTGAGCCAATAGTGTGATGCTGCAGCTTAAAAGGCCAATATGATCCTAAGCTGCATCAATAGAAGTCTTATGTCCAGTTTGAGGGAAGTCATAATCCCACAACGTCCAGTTCTGGAGAAAACAATTCAAGCAAAAGATTGATAAGACGGAAGAGCGGCCAAAAATAATCAGAGGCCTGGGAATTATGAATCTCTATCAGAAGTAGTTTAGGGGGCTAGAGATGTTTAGTTTACAGAATAATAATATACTTTATTTATATTCTGCTCTATCCCTCCAAGGGGACTCAGGGCGGGTTACAGAACACATATACGGCAAGCATCCAATGTCGTTATGCAATTGACAAGGACAGACAATACATAGACAGAGGTATAGGCTTTCCCACCTTTTTTCCATCTCCGGCATCTGGAGGTTGTGCACCACTGGGGTGTTCTGTCGCTCCATCTTCTACACCGAGGAGCTTTGTTGTCCGTAGACATCCTTCTGATCGAATCATCGGCATGCCCTTATGGGCGCGTTTTAATTACCTTCCCGCTTTAAAGCGGTACCTATTTATCTACTCACATTGCTGTTTTCCATCTGCTAGATAGGCAGAAGCTGGGCTGATGGCTGGGAGCTCACTCCGACCGCTAAGGGTGCTTTGTAACTGTCAATCTTTTTTATTGGCAAAATATTCTGAAGTTGGCAATTAACCCGCTGTGCTAAAGCCTGGTCCCGTCTCAACAGTGTCTTTTTTAGCAGGACCAGGCTTTAGCACAGTGGGTTAACCGCCAGCTGCAGAAAATCTTACCAATCGACAGGACCGGGCTTTAGCACAGCGGGTTAACTACCAGCTGCAGAAAAATTTGACCATTGACAGGACTGGGTTTTAGCACAGTTGGTTAATTACCAGCTTCAGCAAATCTTGCCAATTGACATGACTGGGTTTTAGCACAGCAAGTTAAACGCCAGCTGTAGAAAATCTTGCCAATCGACAGTACTGGGCTTTAGCACAGTGGGTTAACTACCAGCTGCAGAAAATCTTGCCAATTGATGGGACTGGGATTTAGCACAGCGGGTTAACCGTCAGCTGCAGAAAACCTTGCCAATCAACAGAGGCTTAACCACCAGCTGTAGAAAATCTTGCCAATCGACGGGACCAGGCTTTAGCACAGCGGGTTAACCGCCAGCTGCAGAAAATCTTGCCAATTGATGGGACCAGGCTTTAGCACAGTGGGTTAACCTCCAGCTGCAGAAAATCTTGCTAATTGACAGGATTGGGCTTTAGCACAGCGAGTTAACCGCCAGCTGCAGAAAATCTTGCTAATTGACAGGACTGGGCTTTAGCACAGCGGGTTAACCAGCAGCTGCAGAAAATCTTGCCAATTGACAGAACCGGGCTTTAGCACAGCGGTTTAACCGCCAGCTGAAGAAAATCTTGCCAATTGATGGGACTGGGCTTTAGCACAGTGGGTTAACTGCCAGCTGAAAATTTTGACCATTGATGGGACTGGGCTTTAGCACAGTGGGGTAACCACCAGCTGCAGAAAATCTTACCAATCGACAGGACTGGGATTTACCACAGTGGGATAACCGCCAGCTGTAGAAAATCTTGCCAATCGACAGGACTGGGCTTTAGCACAGCGGGTTAACCACCACCTGCAGAAAACCTTGCCAATTAACGGGACTGGGGTTTAGCACAGTGGGTTAACTGCCAGCTGCAGAAAAAATTGACTATTGATGGGACTGGGCTTTAGCACAACTGGTTAACCTCCAGCTGCAGAATATCTTGCCAATCAACAGAATTGGGCTTTAGCACAGTGGGTTAATGACCAGCTGCAGAAAACCTTGCCAATCAACGGGACCAGGCTTTAACACAGCGGGTTAACTGCAGCTGCAGAAAAAATTGACCATTGATGGGGCTGGGCTTTAGCACAGCTGGTTAACCTTCAGCTGCAGAAAACCTTGCCAATTGAAAGGTTGACAGTTCAAGTCCTAGTTGAGGCAGGACATGTTTAAACATAACACTGGCCTCTGACTGAAATAAAATATATTCATTCATTTGTGTTTAAATATTGGAAAGGTTGTCACACTAAAGACAGGAGAAGCTTGTTTTCTCTAAGACTAGGATTGGTTTATAGATAGAGGTTTCGATGGACTCTCCCGATTCTGGAGACTTGTCGAGAGGAGAGCCCGAAATCCAGCATTTCTTATCACTGCAGCCTTAGGAGACTTGGTGATCCGGTTTGCAGAATCCTATACTCCCTTTTCTCCTTTTAACTCATCCATTCCTTCAATTCAGAATAACCTCCAGTCTCCTGGGTGAGGTGGGACGTCTATTTGTCCCTCCGCCAAAGGAGCTCGTTGAATGTAGAGTTTATGTGTGTTTGATGATATATTTTCCCCTTCTCTCCTCACCTTATTCCTTGTGGAAATGGTAATATTATGCCAGATGTTCTCAGCAAGCTCTTGGCTGTTCTTCTTCAGGCGGGTGGGTCTTGGACCAAAACCCCAAAACAAGTTTATAAAATCAGATAATATATTGTTGGGTTGGGCAATTGTTGTCTGCCGTCTTCAGATCATTTCGAAATAAAGAGATTCCTCTTGGTACGAGGGGCGTTCATGAAAGATTTCCACTGACCCTCTTCCTGTGGACGGAGAGCAGTTCTGAATCCTTCTCTCCATCAATGCCACACACTTCTCCCAAGTTTTGAAGCAACTGTAACCACCTCGCTTGGAGAAGTCGACGGGTTGCTCCAAAAGCCACGTTGGGACTTTGGAAATCAGAGTCTCATTGCCTGAGAAATGCTTGCCCTTCAAAAATAACTTCTTGTTGGAAAGAGGTGGAAATCCGATGGTGCAAATTCGGGCGAGTAAGAGTGCATGCTTCTTCCATTTGGGAAAGATGGGAATTGTGAACTGGTGCATTCTCTTGCAGAAGGCGGACACCTTTGTGAGCATGCCACATTGTCTCTTGGTTTTGATGGCCTCCCTCAATGTCCGCAACAGTAAAGCCCAGTCTGCCCCAGTGATCATGGTTCCCTTTGCTAGGAAATCCATCAATCCTACTCCGTGCTGGTCCCAAAATGCTGTGAGCATGACCTTGCCTGCCAAGAATTGGGCACGTGGGATTCCTCATCTTCACAAGAGGAAGGGGAGCAGGAAGCAATCAGGAATTGGAAGAGGAATCAGACGATGAGGTCTTGCAAGTGTCCACATTTCTGGAGAGGTGAAAGGAGACAGACGGCGTTCAGCTAGAATAGCTGCTAGAAACGTTGAGCTAATTGGGAGACACCCTAGCACCTCCTGTGTGGGGAATTCAGTGCTATAAATCAGAAGCAGGAGCAGTCAGCTTTCACTGGCAACAACGACTCTGATGCTGATGTTTTCGCTCCAATGGAACCTGATTTAGTGATTATTGCCCGTTGTCTGATGTAAGACTGCTGTTTCTTTTGGGACTTTATAAGAGACTTCATTTTGTGTCTGCCTTAAGACTTCCTTGCTTTTGTTTGCATTTTTCAACTGCCTTTGATGATCCTTTGTGTTTGATGAAGTAAAGCATTTTTGTTTTACTTTCAACATTGTATTAAGGCTGTTTTTGAAGGGCAAATCAGGACAGGCACGTGCCTTCTTTGGAGGCGGTGAGTCAGGATGCTCCCATTGCATCGACTGGACTTGAGTCTCAAGACCAGAGTGATGGACCCAGCTTTCATCTTGTGTGATCAGTCTGTTGAAAAAGTCCTCCTGGTTTCCATGACACATAATTGTCAATAGAGCCTGAGAGCATTCGACTCATTCCTGCTTCTGGTAAGGTAGGAGCAGCCGGGGGACCCAGCGAGCGGATACCTTATGCAGGTGATGATGGTCTTGGGTGATTCTTTTCATCTTGACATTTTGGGCAAGGTGGTGAACAATTACAGAACGGTTTTCCAAAATGGCGACCTCCACTTGCTGGGTGGTGTGTTCATCAATAGCAGAGTAGGGTCGCTCTGGAATTGGAGCTGTTTGCACCGAAAGTCCGACCACATTGGAATGGAAGATGCCAGTTCTTGACTACATCATATGATGGGGAATCCTCACCATGAACCTCTTTCATCTCATCCAAGGTCTCCTTTGGTGTGCGGCCTTTCAAGGAAAGGAACTTTCCTTGAAAGTTCCAATGGGTCCATTTTCAATGGCGAAAGGAGACAGAGCACAAACGGCATTCAGCTAGAATAGCTGCTAGAAACGCTGAGCTAATTGGGAGACACCCTAGAATTCAGGGCTATAAATCAGAAGCAGGAGCAATCAGTTCAGAGTTGTAAATTGGCACGTAACCTATAGAGACTTATATCATTACATATGTACAGTTTCAGCGTCCTGTGATAAATAGAAGTGGGTCAGGGGAAATCTTTAATGAACGCACCTCGTACTATATCACCCTGGATTCTTGAGGTATACACAACATAAAAGGTGAGGTGGGACATCTATTTGCTTCTTCTCCAATGGAGCTTGTTGAATGTAGTTTATTTTATGTGTGTTTGATTTTATATTTCTCCCCATCTCTCCCCATCGTATTCCTTGTGGAAATGGCAATACAGGGTGCGGCAGCATAACTTCCTTTTTTCAAATGTGCGCCATTCAGTCGGTTGAAGACGTAGCGGAGCGCTAGTGGTCTCGTTCGAGAGGCGGGAGTATAAAGTTTTGTCCTGACACAGTTCAGTCGCCATCATGCGTTGGAACAGTGAGGAGCGTGCTTTTGCCGTTGAGGCCTACTTTTCGAGCGGATGTTCTGTGATCGCAACCCAGCGCGCCTTTCGAATTCCTTTTAATTTAGCCCCATTGGCCCCGTCCCGGACTGGAAATCAATTGTGACGTGGGTCACGACATTCAGACAAACTGCAAGTGTGACAAGACAAAGAACTGGAGTCCCTCGGCCCATGAGATCACCTGAGAACATTGAGGCAGTGAGAGCTTCAATGTTGCGATTGTGACGCGAGTGGCGCCACC